GAAGCACAGGTTTAGTACAGTGTCTTGGGGAGAAAAGAGCAAAAAAGTCTCGATTCGAGTTTATTTATTATACAAGAAGACAACAGAGATGAGACAAAGCAGGGCAAATGTGAAGAGGCAGATAGGAAGGGAAACAAATTGCTCAGCATACCTGTAGAGGGGATCAGCAAACTCCTCCAAATGGCGAAGCACTACTTCAGCACATCTCTAGATGCAAACCACTGCTGCAACATTAAACTGGTCCCACAGAAATGCTCCAAGTTGACTGCAGCAGGTCCATGTTGATCTGAATTTCTGAAAGAAGAACCCCTTTGGAAGTAGGGGAGTGGAAAAACATGAGTGGGTCACGGGGTATGGTATGGCTCCCACTGCTCCTCAAAGAGGTGTCATGCAGTGGCATACATCACAGGGACCATGCTTGCAGAATCAGTCACCACCCCCTCTCAACTGATGCTTCCCCTGCCACAGCTTTGCTATTGCTCTTCCTCAGTCTCTGGTTTCTGCCTACCTTATTTGCCAGCCAAAGGCAGGGCAAGTGAGGCAGATCAGTGGTCAAGTCCAACTGCTATGTCAGGAGCAGCAGTTCTGACCTGAGGGCTTGGTGTGGCGGAAGCATGACTGAAAACTTCACTCTGTGGATGGTGAGGATGGGAGACAGAAATCTGGGAAGAGGAAACTGCACTTTAATAGGGCTTATGCACCTGGACAGTACAGAAAACATGAAGCTCATCAGGGATGCCTGTGCTCTTAGCACTTCAGCTGTTTGAAGAAGCAGGAGAAACCCATTAGATATAAATACCAAAAGGCAGTGTGAACGCCCAACAGAGATGACACAGACAGACGTTCAACCACTTAAAATACAGAGCAGGCATTGAAGAGGATCAGATGACTCTCCCCAACCCCCAAATGTCTCAGAACATCATTCTGAAGCAAGAGACTTCCCAAGTTTGACCCTATGGGCAAAACATAACACCTACTCTCCCACTGGTGCAAGACAGCAGAGAAGGAAGGGAAGACATTGAGCACCCTTCTTTTCTGCTCACAGACACAAGAAAGCCAAGATCTATCAGAAATGAGTGCTTCTCAGAGGCTCATGTTTCTTGTTCTTAAGACATCTGGGAAAGTTGGGGGAGCGGAGCAAGTTCTTCGGAATTATAAAGCAATGTCCAAATTCCATATATGAGATAAGAGACCAGGCTGGATGATACAGTGCTTGCCATAGCTCCTTACTGCATATATTCACTTAAAATACAGTAAGTGTTCCCAAGCTGATGCTCTGAGGCTGTTTTCAGGAACACCAAGAGCATAAACACAGAACTGTCCGTAAGCAAAGCACCTTCAGTCATTCTTTCTGCAAAACCTTGAACACAGGTAAAGATGGGCTGTGCAAAGTTTGGTTAAATACTCCTGTGTTCTGCTGCAGGTGGAGCACTGCTGTGAACAGGACTCACTTTTAACAGCAAATCATTGCTGCTTGCAAGGTGCACATTTTGCTACTGGAAATGTACCCTCTCTCAAGGACTCTAAATTCTGGTTGTAAAGATGTCTTATATAAAGATATTGGTAATGGCACGTTTCGAGCCTATTGGCACGCACCTCTCAAGGGTAAGGGGGGGGTCATATTCTACATCCAAATCCTGTCTCCAGGTAACTAATGGCTGGGAAGCAAAGTCCTCCCTTGTCCTAAGTAGCCTCCAGTGTATTTTTCCTCTATGACATATTACCCTTTTAATTCACAGACAGTTTCTGCCTTATTCTTTTAACAGGCCCCACACACTTCTGTCCAAAACACACCCCGACTGCTGGCTCAGCTCTGTCGCTGTGGGGTGGTTGAAGGCATTTCATGGACCAAGCAGAGCCATGATTATAGGTCTTTATTCTTGTATTAATAAAAAGTGCAAAAGCAGATGCCAATCTGGCACCATGATTTCTGGAGGCTCCTGCCCACAAGCATAGGAAAGGGCTCCATTTTGACCACGTGGCTGTCCCATATTCAGAGTACAAAAGGATTGTCATCTCCAGACTAGTGGTGCCACCAATTCTCCCAGCTTGCTGGCTCCACAGCATCAGCATCACAGACATGACACAACTTTGACCTCCACACAGCACCAGGTTGGATGGTGGTGGACTCCCAGTCCTGTGTTCCCATGTCATGGATAACGAGTCCAGGTTTAAATTACATACCAGGAAAGGGGTTAAAGTTTAAATAACTGTTTTGTATATGAATTAATGTATGTAGTTTTGAGCCAAAATATCTACCATTAATTTTTCCACCTATTTCAGGAGCAGTAAGATACACAAAGTAAAGTTTATTTTGGTACTTGGTATACTTCACTCTCATTAAAAATAAATTAATCAGCAAATTCCTACACAGCTCAGCCTTCTTTTATGTAAATACAACCCAGCTGTAATGAATTACAAGGTGTTATTATCTCACACACACTGTATAATACTTCACACATAAGAAGTTTCTCTGCTTAGCTCAGCTTTCAACAAAAGCATCTTAAATAAACTGCAAGCAAGTTGTTTGGTCTGTAATGTTTTCACAGAGAAGGGATACACCTCACACAGAGAGGGTTTCTTTACATGACTCATTTTATAACAAGTTAAACTGAGGAAGTTCGCCTTGGAAAAAAAAAAGGAACAAAATGCCTTTTTTATACACAGAAGGCTCCCTAAGAGAAGATTTAAAGAAACAAAAAATGCAAGGCAGTGTTTGGGAGCCTATATTCCGTATCCCACTGCTCTGTACACAGAGAAGTGATGTCAAATATTCCCCAAACCACACAATACGAAGTAAGCGGCTTCAGAAGGAAGAACAGTCACATCCAGGCACAGTCACACTTTCACCACATTAAGGAATCACAATCTAAGGATTACTTTCACAAATTGAGGATTATCACCTTGGACATCTGTTTAACAGCTTTATTAGGGATAAGTCCTGATATTATAGGACTTATTCTTATCAGAAGCGCGCACAGAAAACACACACACATCAGTTTTACCCAGACTGACATTTATTATTGACTAGGGGTTTAGAGAGGAGAGAAATGAAAACGCCTTTCATCCCTGACCTGGAAGTAGCCTGGTGAACCATCCACCTACTCAGCTCACCTCAGCCCCTGCCCATTTCATCACTGGAGCTCTTGCTCCTATAATTACTACACTGGCATAAGCTGGCTGCACAGCCAGATCAAGTTTTCACTGGGGCTGACAGGTCTTGCTAAAACCCTCTGGACCCGATTTGGGATGCAGGATCGCTAAGTCCTGTCCCCTTGAAAGCCATGGACAAAACCAGGCATGTTCTCTTCCTAAAGAAATTCTTAGACCACAGCTCTAAAAAGAATATGGAAATATTAGCAAGGCAGACTGAAATACCAATTACTCTGAGGAGCTTTCAGTGACAGCCCCGCCCCGTTTTGGTTTTTATTCTCATTAAGATGGCTGGAGTCACAGAGGATTACTGGGACTGTGCATTATCCTTTGCATCCTCCTATTCTTGTGCAACACAGCAGAGAGTGCCTAAAAAAGGTTTTCACAGAAAACCACTCAGAATCTTTTAAAGCAACTCCACTAAAGCAAAAATGGAACACTCCATCTTGATATCAGGCTTTTAAAATACATTAACATCTAATATGCAAAGCTCAGACTTGCACTGACAACCATTCAGTGAGCAGAGGAACACCCTTGTTTCTCTAGTTAGCAGCTCCCAAACAAGGCAAAGGACAAACTGTCTTCTTAATGAAGACAGAAATGTCTTTTTAAGATAACTCTATGTCATGGTAAAATATCTGGTTTCCTAAAGACAGAAGGCAGGTCTTTCAGTTTGTCAGCAAGGACCACTCAGTGCCATAAAAAGGACAGAGGTTCTCAAATGAACTAGCATTTATTTGCAGGTGAACAGTCAGAAGAGCTTGGCTGTCCAGACTGGTGCTGAAGCACCACGGATAGGACATCTAATTAAATACTGCCTTTCCAACAGCAGATTTTCCTCCTGATTCCACAGCCTCAGCCCAGTCCAATTTCAAGCATGCTTCCCAAGCTGATCTGACAATCTGATAGAGATGTCAGGCACTCAGAGTCCTTCGTCATTGTAAACAGGGGAAAGGGGCTTGAGGATGCTGCGGGCGTTGCTCTCCACGAGCGGCCGCCAGCTCACCTCACCCGTCAGCAGCAGGTCCTCCCCGCTCAGCGCGTCCAGGTGCTGCACCTGCAAGGACAAGGAGTTAGTGCAAAGTGTCCCATCACCCCTTAAGTGCTACACAGACAGGTTTGGTTTCCAGAAATGAAGCACAAAAAGGCGATTTTAACATAGCCATTTGTGTGAGACCTGGAAAGATAATTTGTCTCAGTCTCAAGAGTCAGGGAAAGGCTGAGATAAGTATCTGCAGATCCACTGAAGTTAACTGCGTAAAGTCTTCTACTAATAGCTTACCTAATGCTTCCTCTCAAAGTTTGGCAACAGGACAAAGAGGAGCCACGCAAAGCTAACATGAGTCATTTTATCTCCCCAGCAGCTAATTCAGGTGACACGCGGATAGTACCATCATCTACCTGAGTGCTCTCACAGAAGTGGTTTCACACAGACCAAGGCTTGCATGATAGAAAAAAGAGAAGCCTGACCAGCAGGGAACACCTAAGAGTTGTAATATAAAAGCCCATGAGGTGGAGGAGATGAACATGGAATGAATGCTCATTCTTGCAATACAAGAAATACTTGGGATCAAATTAAATTTCAAGGTGCAATGTAAGCAAAATAAAGAGACCCCTCTTGTCACACAACACAGGGTTAACTTACTGCCACAGGATACTGTAAAGGGGGAAAGAAAAGGAAGTTCATCAAGGGTTAGTAAAAGAGAAAATCACCACTTCTGGCTCAGGAATTCTGTGAACACTGATTGCTAGGAGAGCTGACCAGTAGTACACATGCTTGCCCTGTTACTATAGTCTTCTCTGGCAACCCCTAACAGCCAACGTTAAAGACAGGTTCAGCAAGAAACTATGGGGAAGACCTGGTACACAGTGCTGACTGGGAACCAAAGATAATTTGACAAGGAGTTTCTCAACAGAGGAAGGAATATACCGATGGCCACAGCGGGTCAGACCAAAGAGCCACCTAAGCACCATATCCTGTTTCTGACAGTCGTCAACAGCAGATTCCCCAGTTAAGTACAATGCATGCATACAATGTTATTCTCCTTGTTTATTCTTCCTCCCTCTCAAAATCTCTTAGTTCAGGAATTTTGAGCCTGAGGTGGTTGTTGTGGATTTAATAGCCCTGTACAGGCTATTAAATTACCTTGCCAGTGGCTTTGGAACCCATGTGCCACTGTAGCACCCCAAACAACCCATGGCAACGTTATGTCCCCACATTCCTGTATCAGTGAACAGCCTTTCCTCGCTCACCTTTCGTATGCCTTCAAGATTTCCCAAAGCTGTCTCATATTCTTTCTCAGCTGTTTTTCAGGCAGGGAATCCTACTCACTGCTAATGGAGAAGCTGTTTCATGTCCTCCTTACTGCTCTTCTCTGAGCCTTCCTCAGTTTGGTTTTTATCTTTCTTGATGGTCGGAACCCAAACCATACTTATTACTCAAGATCACAAGGGTACCATGGATTTAAATAGTGGCATGAAAACACTATTTTACTCTCAGTAGTTCTGAGCATTTGGGTTTTTTTTAAACACTACAGAGTGCTGAGCTGACACTTGGATAATTGTAGTCTCAAGGACTCATTCCTGTGTGGTAACAGACAGTTCAGAGCTCATCAATATACATGTAAAGCTGGGAATGTTCTCCTCAAGTGCACCACTTTAGAGCTGTCTGCAGGAATGACTTGTATTCACAGAAGCAGTGCTCATTCTTCCCCAGTGTGCCACATTCACCTGTGTGATCACTGCTTCCTATTGAACTGCTGACAGTTTCTGTCCTATCCTTTGCTTGCAGGTACAGAAGTGCAAGAAATTCCCCATTTGGCAGCAAACTGTCCCAAAGTAAGTAATTTTCACATGTGTTTGCTCCCTGCCAATCTTCAGTTTTAAACTTTCCTACAGCCTCCCTGATGTTAATCATCAGCAACCTTAAGCATTGTCTGTCCCTCCTGAGAAGCCCTCTGGCATTCCAAAAGCATCCCTTACAAAGTTCAACCCTTTACTTCCCATACCATTTTCTCACACACCCCCCGAAATATTTTCTCTTCAATCTCTATCTGAATATAGTATTGGAAACATTACAGAGAATGTTGTTGTGGAGGTTCTGGTCTTCGCTTCCCTGTCTAACAGCCTACAGTCTTCCTCCAGAACCTCTCTCAGCCCTCTTCTGTCTTTGGTACCTACCTGGTACCCATTCCTACCACATTTCCTAGAAACCTGGTTTACAAACCTCCCAAGGGTTGAGAGGACAAACACTACTTAGTAGAGTTTCTTGCAGGTAATAACTGAAACATAATAATTCTGGAAAACAAAACCTCTTTTACTTGTTTCCCCACAAACATCATCAGGAGACTTTCAGGCTCTGTGTGCCATTTCATTATGAAGAGGATTCCAACTCTGAAACATCAATTATAATTCTACAGCAAATTGTAGCCCATTTCTGACATATTTTGTCAAACCCCTCCACAGCACAAATCCAGAAAAATGTAAGTAAGATTGCTTTCAACATTCCCTGTATTTCTCTGCAGCCGTTTTCCATCAAAATACAATAAATGTCTGCCTGGTTTTGTATTTTTTACTTTTTTCTCCTTAAAAATAATCACTGAACATAAAGATCAGTTATGGCAATTGAGCTACATAGTATGCAAGCAATAAAAATAAATAGTTAATATTCTAAACAGGAGAATGAAGCGAAGTTGCACTGTGAACTGCAGCGTACCTGTTTGCGCACGTACTCTACAAGTAACTCCAGATGTCGAGGGTCCTCGCAGTTCTTGTTAAAGAGGTTTCTCCAAAGAGCTGCTGCCAGAACATGATCGTCAGACAAGATTCCCTAAAGGAAACATGAAGGGAGAGCAAAAACTGCATGTGAAGAGGGTCTGAACACAAGACAACCCCATTACTCTACTTGGCAACTGACAATATTAGCTGCCTCAAAGCCCACACCTGCTATGGGCTGTATGTATGAAATGGCATCAACATCACTTGTTCCCAGAATGGAAGAACAACCCCAGCCTTAAATTAATTTACGGAGCAGCCTGTAACAGATATTCTGCAAAGTTAATTTGGAAAACAAACTGGGTCAGGACACTCCTAATGTAGGAGCTGATAACTACATTTCTACGTTATGAAATCTTAACCATAACAATTTTGGCCTTACAGACCAGACAGCACGACCTTACAGAGCTGGATGAAGCCCATGGCACTTGGAAAAGAAAAAGTGAAGGATGAAGAAACATACTCAGGACTTTGCTGTTTTATATTCTACATGAGATAAAGAGAACCCCTCCAGAGCAAGAACTATCTAGACTTTTCCAGTTAAATCTAGTATTAAATTTGGCTTATACAGAATCACATCCATGAGCGCTTTTTGTCTAAATTCTCCCCTACTTTTATTGTCTTTTTAGGTTATGTGATGTTAGCACCATAGTCTCATCTCTCCTGTTCTGCTAACACATTTGCCAAAGCAAGAGAGGATTTTAAACATTCAGTTAAAAATAAAAACTGCGAACATTTGTCTTTAACTAGACATTTTTTATCCAAAGAGTGTCAACAAAACGAGAAAAGAAAAGACGACAGACACAGGCAGACACCTCTTGGCTATACTTAAAACTAGATTAAAGACTTGCATCCATAACAGTATCCACAACTCTATGAAGTTTACATTCATAAGATATTAATAATGCAAGCAATAATTTCACATGTGAATAAGACCATCTGAAGAGCAACATTCAAGACAAAAAAAATTAACTACTAAAAGAGATGATGTAATTGTATCATCTTCTTGAAAGCCCTGCAGATACTTGTTGCAATGGTGCTTTTGGTTCCTCACATTATGAGATGCTATCTATAAATACCCTTATAGAGACTCTCTGTAAATACTCTCTTTGCTTTTAAAGTATAGCTGAGTACAACAGGATTCAGAGAGAGGAAATTATTTACTGATGGTCAAGCAGTGACAGTGAAGAAGTACAAAGAACATCCTTCCTCCCTGTCCCACAGTTTAAATCAATTTGCCGTGTGCTTGCTTGCTTTCTTCTTAAAAGCACTTTAATTCAAGGCGTAAAAATGATCACAGTAATTATTAAGTCTGCTTCCGTAACATACCATTTCTCCAAAGATATGTATGGCAAACGTTTTGCCCATCTGAGTATTCAGTGTTTGTGAATTAGATGGTCTACTTGTTCTTGCACATTCTCTGAAAACATCCTTCTTACCTCATCATATCCAAATAGAGCTGCATAGAAATTTTCTACCATACTTCTCATATCTTGCTTTAGAACAACAGAATTAATCTGAAAAATAAACCAGAAGACCATCTATATAGGCTCTAAAGAAGAGGTGATGACAAAATAGTATCAGTTTCACTCTGAGCAGTCAAAGAAGAAACACAGTGCTTTGGCCCACATAGGTTAGGATTTAGCTGTAAGGAACAATGTTAGCGCAGTTAAACATTTTAGAACAAGATGCAATACAGCTCTGTTAGTTCTGTACTCCATGAAAGTCAGTGTTACTCCGGATATACGAATGGCAGAAAACCCCTCAGCCAACAGCACTGACATGTAGCTACATGAGCAGAGAAAAACTGCAGCTGGGGAAGGAGTGAAGGCAAGGCCATCCTTTCAGTGGTAGCCCAGGCTAAGATAATGAAGACTCCTCTGTACTTCAACTATTGAGCAGAGTTTGTGATGATCCAGGTACTTCTGCCTGTGCTGTAAGCGTGACTCAGTCCAAGTTCCACACTGACTTTTAACTCAATTTAACAGCTGCTTAAATATTTGCTGTTTTGGCCTAAGCCACCCCTTAGCTTGCAGAACTGACTCCATGTAAGCTTAAGCCAGAACCAAAAGAGATTAACTGCTACGTCCAGAGTGATGGCTGAAATACCTCACATCCATCTCCCTCATATGAACTATTCAGTCCTTTTGCCTGTACTTTCTAATTTGATCCACAAAATGATTTAATAAACAGCTCCTCTCCTGAGGGCTAAGCCACACTCCAACTGGCAAAGCTGCTTCTTGGTATTGACTCTCGGGAGAGATCTAGGAGAAACTAACCATTTCTTTTCTACAGGTCTTGCATACAGGTTAGATATTAGGAAGCAATTCTTCCCTATGAGGGTGCTGAGGCGCTGGCACAGGGTGCCCAGAGAAGCTGTGGCTGCCCCATCCCTGGCAGTGTTCAAGGCCAGGTTGGACACAGGGGCTTGGAGCAACCTGCTCTAGTGGAGGGGGCCCCCGCCCATGGCAGGAGGTTGGAACTGGATGAGCTTTAAAAGGTCCCTTCTAACCCAAACCACTCTATGATCGTATGAACTACAAATGACAAGGATAATTATCTCCATACCTGCACACCAGCACAACACTCACGTATGAGACTGCATCTTGGAATGAGACTGCATCTTGGAGACAGGTTTTACCAAAAATAAACTGCAAACAGGATTATAGGGTAGGACATCAGTTCTACACAGAATAATCCCCACTCTCTTTGGCATACAGCTTGTCACACTTACAACAGTATGAACCACATGTCCTACACAGTTTCTTAGTATCCTTAAAAGTACTCACCTTAGTAATTATGCAACAGCTTTTTGATCAAAATGTGCTAGTTTTTGCCACGCTAGCAAATCTCCCGTTCAAATATTCTTCCATTAAACCACTGCCTTTTTTCATCTGTTGATTTTTATAGAAATGCATATAGTGCAAACACAAGGAAAATTCCTTTTATGTCAGTTACTCATATTTTTCCATTAATATAAACTATTAAAATTCATGCAGCTATTTTACAGGCTCTCAAGATTTGGAGACTCGTTATTACGGCCTGCTGAAAAAAAAGAACTAACCATAAGAAATCAGAGGGTTAAATGATGACTGCAACTTCTGTAATGACTTAATTAAATTTTTATGGAGTACATAAACTATGATGTCATTTCTACCCAACCATGCTCAAACTTTCTCTGCATGTCAGAGATCGTGGTTTTTCTCAATAGAACGTACTTCTAAATAAGCTGCACTTCTAATAAGGGGGAGCAGGTCTCATGTAACACACTCAATAAATTATCCTTCCATTTTAAACAAACAAATTCCATGAGTTATTATATATTTGCCACGCACTTTTTATGACATAATAAAAATGTTACCTCAAGGATTACTTAACACATACTACAAATGTTACAGCAGGCAACTGCAAGGGGCAAAGAAAACAAATAGTCCCATTACAGAGACAAGTCCTGGACTATACATCCCCAGGGAAGCAGCTTTCTGTACTAAAAGCTAAGAGCAGCAGCTTTAAGTTAGCAAGAAATAGATTGATGAAGGAGATAACCAAGTTAAACAAACATGGCAATAAATACATCTTAAAAGACAAACAGTTTAAAACAGAAAATATGACTTTGGGGATGGAGCACTATCTTGGGCAATAAAATTACACTTAAAGGAATACTGCAATTTCTGAGGAATACAACCAGCAGTGGTTAAACACAAACATTGTAGGAAAAATTCTTTATAAAACAGGGCAAAAGAGTAAATCTAAATCAGTATTTGTTGGAAATGATTCCTCTCTTTAAGCTTGTTCATGTTCTTACCACTGGCAAGGGTCAGGATCTGGTTGGTTCTGACTCTGCTGACTCTTCCACCATTTGTTATTAAGAAAAAAACCTGCTAGGCAATTCCAAGTGAGTAACTGCTAAAACCTCCACAATCAGTAACATCTGGAGCCCTTCTAGGGACTGAACCCCTGTGCCTTCTTTGGAACAACCCATTGTAGAGCTGTCACCTGAATAAACATATATACCATCACCTAAATTGACACACAGATCTATCTTAGCTCGAAACAATGAATATGGTTTTGGTACATCTCACATTTATAAGACCTTTAAAAAAAAGGGAATGTACAGCTAACCTATCATCCTTCTACATGTCACAACTTTTCACTGAAAGACTCCATGATGCCCCATTCTGCTGCAAGACAACTGCAGCACACGACTACTGCACTTGCATTATAATGTTGCAGTAAGATACCTCATCTTCAGCCTCAATGTGTTCAACACACATCATTCAACAGCCAACTGGTGAGACTTCCGCTACATCAGACAATTTACAGTATCAAGACCCAGCGAAGGGTTTTATTCTAACAAAATTTATAGAATCCCAGAGTGGTTTCGGTTGGAAGGGACCCCAAAGCTCCTCCAGTTCCAACTCCTGCCACAGGCAGGGACACCTTCCACTAGAGCAGGTTGCTCCAAGCCCCTGTGTCCAACCTGGCCTTGAACACTGCCAGCGATGGGGCAGCCACAGCTTCTCTGGGCACCCTGTGCCAGCGCCTCAGCACCCTCACAGGGAAGAACTTCTGCCTAAGAGCTCATCTCAATCTCCCCTCTGGCAGGTTAAAGCCATTCCCCCTTGTCCTGTCCCTACAGGCCCTTGCCCAAAACCCCTCTCCCGGGATGGGGTATTCTAGGAATTTCTAGGAAAGTAAGAGCATACTGCTGGCCATGTAGGAAAATATCTTATCTATGGGCACAGCTTTTAAAGTGAAAGCTGCTACAGCATTAGTCAATATTAATGCCTCTTGTTGCATTGAGCATTCTTTCGCAATGGATCTCCTCCTCATCCCCACGTCCTGTGCTTTCGCTTATACTGTCTCAGCGTGCATAAACTGGGAAACATGCCCTAATGCAACCTACTTCCAAGGAGGCATCCAGCCCACAGGATCAGCCTAGAACCATCACAAAGATCATCCCTGTGGAACAGGGACACTGGATCATCAACTGCTTCACTCAACAAATGTGTTCCTGACAGACCACACTAAATGCTAGCATAGACATAGCTGTGATGTCCATGGGCTACACTATTTGAAAGCACTTTAACAGGAGTTTCTTTCTGTTACAGCTTTTGCCAGCATGTGTTGCACCCTTAAGCTACTTTAACACATTAATCCATCCATAGACTATAAAGCCAGAAAGGGCACTTCTAACTGCACCTTGTACAAGCGCTAGTCATTGAATTTCATGCAGCAATTCCTCTCTTTAGGCCATAAGTTATGGTTGAACTAGATTTTTTTATGAAGAGATTTCAACCAGAAGAAATGATTAGATCATAGAACCTGACCCTCTGCATATCACAGACCATTACATTTCACTGAGCTCCCTCTGTACTACGCTCAGTAAATTGTGTTTGGCTAAAGCGTATCACCCTCACAGTTGAACATGTGTCTCTCATTTTGGATTTGAATTTTCTGGCTTAAGTTTCCACCCCCTCATTCTCATTATACCATTCCTGCAAGAATAAAAAGCCTCTTCTGTACAATGTATTTGCTCCTGTACCTGTACACAGCAGATGTGTCAGCACAGTCATCATTGCAAATTAAGATTAGAGTCTTTAGGTAACGTTAGCATTACGTGCACTGATACTACATCATCAGCGCACTCCTGGAGTAGTTGAAGTTGTAATACCGAAGTAGTGTTTTATGCTGATACAGTAAAAAATAATTCATCTCATGCGCAAAACAAGTTACACAGGTAGGAGTACACTTGTTGTTATGACTTAGCCTACTCTGGGGACTTCTGTTAGCCACACTGCCATAACCATCAACAGCTCCTACTGACACTGGTTTTGCTTTCCAGAGAGTTCAGTATCAGCAGAACTTCCTGAAGGAGATACAGGACAAATCTTTCATTACAAAAAACACCACTCCTCAAACATTTAGGCTTCCTTATGCACCTTCTCTCAAGTTGCATTTGGAAAGAATGACTTATAATATATAGTTTGTGTTAGTTATAAATAATATATAACCACATGTGGCTATATATGGGCTTTTAAAGGGTTCGCTGCCCTCTTAATAAGTGCACATGACGTTAAATGGGAAAACCTGCATAGAGCCCTTTTATTTCCTCCAATAACATAATTATTACTGTAGCTAGGATCAAAAAGATTAAATTAATAAACCAGATTAAAAATATCTCTGTAGCAAAGTGCCAAAAAGGAGAGTTCCTTCAGGCAACCTCAGAGTTGGGAAACGACAAAGATATTGCAGAGATTATTTTTCCAACCTTCATTTTTGAGTCCTATTAATCCCTCTGTTCCTTTGTCTGCAAACTGGCTACGGTGGTGAGTCCCCATCTGCTTTGTAATATTAACTTTTCTGATAAATTCTCTAATACAAAGTAAGTAATTTTGTAATGCCCCTCAGCAGAGAATTAACTTCAGAGAATGAGATTTAAAGCCTTCTTCAGTGTTCAGTGACAACCTACTTCAACGTTGTATTAACCCAGACAAAAGCTACCTGTTAGGCTGTA